TATACTGGCAGGGTTTGTGGGCTTGCTTCTCCCTTGCCAAAAAAAGGGGCCCCTTCTTGTTTTTTTTTTTTTTTTTTTTTTTTTTTTTCAATCTCTAGTAATTCACACCGTGTCCTAAATTTACAGCCTGAAGCCAGACTCTGTGCTTTGCAGCTGGGTGTCAGGGTATTGATTTATTTAAGCAGGGTATTTATTTATTTTCTCATGAGGTAAGGGACTTTGCTCTCTGCCAGCTTTCCCGGACCAGCACCCCCACACACCACCAGGCCCTGCTCGGCCCCCACCTGTCTGGCGGGCTAGCTGTCAGACTCCTCCACAGCTGTAGCTCTGCACTGCCTCACAGCAGACTGGAAACAGGTTCCTGGAGCAGAGTGGAGCCATTCCAACAGGCCCGCTGTCACTCTGCTCACACTCAGGGCTCGGTCCCAGGGAGGGCCTAGCACTGTCAGCCAGGAAGGAGGAGCTGGGAGCTAAGAGAGGGGGAGTTGAATGGTCTGTCCCAGAAGAGCTTGCAGTCAGAGCAGAGGAAATTCTTCTATCATTACTGTCTTTCTTTCTCCCCTAATTAGGAGGAGTGAGAGCTCAGTTCTTCTGGGGTTTGTAGGGCAAGGATGTAATCAAGGTGAAGTCAGGCCTAGCGTTTTGCTCACTGGGCTCCCTGGGGAGTCCCACAAAGACAAGCTAGCATACTCACTCAAAGGGGTGAGGGTGCCACACATTGCACCCCAATTATCCCATTATTTTGAAAGGCTATGAATGTGGTCTTGTGTGGTACAAAGGTGACATAAACTACTGGAGATCTGCATGTGTTTGCAACTTCTTTGCCAGAGACAAACAACTCTCCTTGTTAAACACTCACACCCTGTAAGATCTGGGTGAATTGACCTCATTAGTATGATTGTTTATAATAATCACCATAACAATTATGTTCTCCATTGTGAGAAAGATGACGGTCCTCACCCCCAGTAGAAAAGCAGCTCCGAAGCTTTGTTGGACCTAGGATGAATCTGCTAGAGCCCTCCTGTGGCAGGGCTCTGGATTTCTGCTAGCTGAGGGTTAAGAAGAGCCCAGGACTTCCCACTTCCTGAACCAACTCCTTCCTCTGCATCACAATTTCTTATCTAACTGTGGGCAAAGTACTAAAAAAATGGATCTCAGACACCTGGTTCCACATATAGCCACCCCCAAGCTACTTACTAACCATGGGGGTATCGGTTAATATTTTTCTTTTTTGAGACAAGGTGTCACATTAGCCCAGGCTGGCCTCAGACTCACTATGTAAATAAGATTAACCTTGATTTTTCTGGTCTTCCTGTCTCTACTTCTGAATTGCTAGAATTATAGGTGTATACCACTATGCTGGTTTATGCAGTACCGGGGCTTGGAAGCAAGGCTTCATGTGTGCTAAGTAGGCACTCTGAGAAACTAAACTATTACTTTTGGCTGCCTGCTGTCTGTTCTGCATTTGTGGTAACACTCAGCCCTAGGATTAGAGTATAAGACTCTAAGCAATAGAACGGTACAGGGTGGAATATGCAGTACCATGTTGTACTGTGACAATGACAACTGAGAGGATGATATCCTTTTAAATGAAGAAGCTTGAACAAAATGACCACTTCTTGTAGGATCTGAGTTTCCTGTCTCAAATTTCCTGCTTCATTGGCTTTGTCCTTCTAGCTTTCCCCTGCTCCAGAGGTTCCTGGGGAGGGGGCGGGGCTGCCCATGAGAGCCATGGATCACAGTTCCTACTGACTGCTGAGAACAGCTGCTGTCTCACATGAGCTAGGCACCCAAGAACAGTGATCCCATAATATCCCAGCTGTTTAAGGAGCTGAGCAGGGAAGAACCCCAAAGGTGCAACTCAGTAAGTGTCAATCATGAGGGTCAGGCCTCTGTCTCCTATGCAATCAAAGCATGTTTGCCTAGGGGCAGGGTCTGTACTGACTGGCCACAAGGGCTGTGCCAGGATAGACACACTTCTTGATTCCATAAGGGAAGATGACTAGTGGGAATCACTTTGCTTGGTTACATTTCACCAGGAAGAACACTAGAGAGAGAGGAAACTAAGGTGTCAGGGGTGGAATAAGAACACAGTGCAGGCAAGCATATGCCGAGGGACATTTTGGTGAGTCAAGCTATTTTCCACAGAAAACCAAGCAAGGCAATGAAGTACATTGTAACAGATGGGGCAAAGTTTACCTCTAGAATTCCAGATTTTAAGACACCACCACACATTCATGTAACACTTCCCAGTGTGAGAAATCCATTCACAGTCAGCATCTTGGTTATTTCTCCTCAATTCTTGAAAGACACACAGGGAAGGTATATTTCTTATAAATGAGGAAATGAAACAGGAACCAAGAGAGCTATCCTGGGAATATCTAACTGAATGAATAGAGTTTGTTTAAGGGGAAATCTTTCCAGAAAACAAAAACCGGAGCACAGGATCCTTTTTAGACTCTGTACCAGACACACAGCAGCTAAGTCCTAAGTCTTAGCCCTCACCTTCTATGGTCAAAGACCATCCTACATTCTGCAGCCTCTGACCCAGCAGGCAGTCCCAGGGTCCTGCTGGGAGGTTCTAACCGAAGTTGCCCAGGTTTACAGAGAATGCTCTGCTTTCAGAGTTGCACTTAGATGAATGGGGGAAAGGGAGGGAAGGAGGTCGGGAAAGAGGATGAAACATACAGGGACATGTGCTCTGCTCATGGAAGCTTTAGGGGAAAAAAGGAGAGAGAAAGCCCTCTGTGTTTGATTTGGAGCTTCAACAAGCTTGCTACTGTTTCAAGTGCACAGGAAAGTGAGATTTGCAAAGGGAGGAGAGGGGGAGGGGGCAGGGTGAAGTCTTTATGAATGATGCTGAGAATCCAGAGCAGGTGCCCAGCTCCTGTGTTGCCCCTGGCCCTGGGCCCCATTGCCTACGCAGAGGCCTTCCACTGGAGTGGCCCAGAAGCTTCTCACTTCCATTCATGGGACTTGGCCTCGCAGATGGATGCCTTTGTTGCTAATAGTGCGTGGAGGTGGGGGGTGGGGGGTGGGAATGGAGGCTGCTACTTCTGCTATGGCTGCCTGACAGTGTCTGCAAAATGGAAGTAAAGGGCAGCTTCCTGCCATGAAAAGCCCACCCACAGGGGTACCCTATAGTATACTGCTGGCTTGGAATCTGAGCAAGAGAAAAATGACACCCATCTCAGGGCAGAGATAGGCAAAATGGGAAGTACCATGTTAGGTTCTGTTCAGGGAGACAGAAGCAAGACTGAAGACGATTGATGTGCTGCCCAAAGATGGCCACCAACACCATCAGGCAACAGCCAACTCACCTTCTCCAAGGTCCACACACCGTTCCTAATCCTAGTCCCCATCTGACTCTAGGACCCTTGATATATGCACACACACGCTCCAGGCAGCAATACCATGCTAAACATTGAT